GATCTGACAATTCATCTTGATGGTTGTACAGTTGTCTCAAATAAAACTGAAGGACCTTGGGGTTACTCTGGACTCTGATCTCTCTTTTGACGAACATATCAAGAATATTTCAAGGGCAGCTTTTTTCCATCTTTGTAACATTGCAAAAATAAGAAAAAGCGAATCCATGCTTTTGTCACTTCTAGATTAGACTACTGCAATGATCTACTCTCTGGCTATACGGATAAAGCACTAAATAAACTTCAGTTAGTGCTAAACACAGCTGCTAGAATCTTGACTAGAACCAAAAAATGTAATCTTATTACTCCAGTGCTAGCCTCTACACTGGCTTCAGTCCAGAACTCAGTCCGGCTTTAAACATACTCTTTTAAGGTTGTGCTTTGGCGGAGTGGGTGGGGTTATATCCTTCCTGTTTGGCCCTGTCCGGGGGTTTCTTCGGATGGGGCCACAGTGTCTCCGGACCGCTCCTGTCTCAGCCTCCAGTATTTATGCTGCAGTAGTTTATGTGTCGGGGGGCTGGGGTTAGTTGGTTATACCTGGAGTACTTCTCCTGTCTTATCCAGTGTCCTGTGTGAATTTAAGTATGCTCTCTCTAATTCTCTCGTTCTCTCTTTCTCTCTGAGAACCTGAGCCCTAGGACCATACGTCAGGACTACCGGGCATGATGACACCCTGCTGCCCCCAGTCCGCCTGGCCTTGCTGCTATTCCAGTTTCAACTGTTCTGCCTGCGGCTACGAAACCCCTACCTGTCCCAGACCTGCTGTTTTCAACTCTAAATGATCGGCTATGAAAAGCCAACTGAGAGACCTGAGCCCTAGGACCATACGTCGGGACTACCGGCCGTGGTGACTCCTTGCTATCCCCAGTCCGCCTGGCCTTGCTGCTATTCCAGTTTAAACTGTTCTGCCTGCGGTTATGGAACCCCTACCTGTCCCAGACCTGCTGTTTTAAACTCTAATGATCGGCTATGAAAAGCCAACTGAGATTTATTCCTGATTATTATTTGACCATGCTTGTCACTTATGAACATTTTTGAACATCTTGGCATGGTTCTGTTATAATCTCCACCCGGCACAGCCAGAAGAGGACTGGCCACCCCTCATAGCCTGGTTCCTCTCTAGGTTTCTTCCTAGGTTTTGCCTTTCTAGGGAGTTTTTCCTAGCCACCGTGCTTCTACACCTGCATTACTAGCTGTTTGGGGTTTTAGGCTGGGTTTCTGTACAGCACTTCGAGATATTAGCTGATGTAAGAAGGGCTATATAAAATAAAATTGATTGATTGATTGAAATTGTAATAGTAGAATGCATAAGGTGCAATTTCGAAATTGAGTAGTGCATCATCAGTTCCTCTGGCCATGTTAGTCATTGCATACCTTAGAGAGCTATTTATAACTTGTCAGAAATGTCCAGATCAACTAGCCCATGTCAGCTAACGCTTTTTATTTATTTAGATGTTTTAGCCCTAAAATATTGTAATTTTTTAGTCACTCATATTACATGAATACACATTAGACACAGCAAAATGTATATGTTGTGTATTTTGTGGAATTGCATTAGTGCGACATTGTAATGTAATTTTTTTGGGAAATGTGTAGAGTGGTCCCGGGATCCCACCCTAGTGGTGGCTGCATCATGTTATGGGTATGCTTGTCATCAGCTTTTAGAGACTTACCCTGAAAGACTTACAGCTGTAATTGCTGCCAAAGGTGATTCTAACATGTATTGACTCAGGGACTTTAATACTTACTTATCTAATGAAGATATATATGTGTTTATTATATATATATATATATATATATATATATATATATATATTTTTTTTTACAAATCTTCCACTTTCACAGTATTTTGTGTAGATCGTTGACCAAAAATTACAATTAAATCAATTTTAATCCCACTTTGTAACAAAATGTGGAAAAAGTAAAGGGGTGTGAATACTTTTCTGAAGGCTACCAGAGAAAAACTACACTGGAGGAAAGTACCGGAGAAAAGTAGCCTACACATCAGTCGGAGTGTTGTCTGGTGATCCAATGATGAAAGCAAATACATTTCATCCAGTGTGGAGAAGTGCAACTGAAGCACAAAATTACATTCATGATTTGGAGTGAACCCTGACTGAAGCTGAGCAGAATTTACAATAAGACGCAGCAAGATATTTGTTCTGGGTTTTATCTTTCCCTTTCTGCGTGAAAAACGTAGAATCCCCCCCCCCCCGAAAAAGAGAACAACAATAGGTTTCACAGCTTCACTGTAAACCCCTAATAACAAAACTATACACCTTCACTGATAGCCCTGTTTACAAAAAACACCACCATCAGCATCAGTTGGTATAGTGAAACACTTCAAATAGCATACGTTTGGCTTTCTCTCGCTCTCTTCTACTCCAAATCCTCACCTACGCTTAGGCTACCCAGGAAACAGCCAGTGACTAACTTCTCTCCCACCAAACAGCGCTGGACCAGAAGACAAGTCTGACACTAGCAAGTGATGAGAGCTAATTTGCTGCATTCTAGAACCTGATTCCACCCAGGACGTTCCAATCTAGAACACGCCAAGTATGTTCCATTCTGTCAGGATTTGACAACTGAAAATATATTTGAAGTTACCAGTCCATATAGGTGCATCATAAATGAGTACAAGTAGTTTCACGCCTGATTGCTTTAGTGTGAATTCTCTCATAATTTTAGATTTAGATTATTCGGAGACTATTTTTACTACACGATATGCTACACTGGATCACCTATCACCATTCCATCAGTCACATACACAAACAATTGTGTCAACTGCGATTACTCAAATAGAGTGGGGAAAAAAGTATTTAGTCAGCCACCAATTGTGCAAGTTCTCCCACTTAAAAAGATGAGAGAGGCCTGTAATTTTCATCATAGGTACACGTCAACTATGACAGACAAATTGAGATTTTTTTTTCCAGAAAATCACATTGTAGGATTTTTAATGAATTTATTTGCAAATTATGGTGGAAAATAAGTATTTGGTCACCTACAAACAAGCAAGATTTCTGGCTCTCACAGACCTGTAACTTCTTCTTTAAGAGGCTCCTCTGTCCTCCACTCGTTACCTGTATTAATGGCACCTGTTTGAACTTGTTATCAGTATGAAAGACACCTGTCCACAACCTCAAACAGTCACACTCCAAACTCCACTATGGCCAAGACCAAAGAGCTGTCAAAGGACACCAGAAACAAAATTGTAGACCAGCACCAGGCTGGGAAGACTGAATCTGCAATAGGTAAGCAGCTTGGTTTGAAGAAATCAACTGTGGGAGCAATTATTAGGAAATGGAAGACATACAAGACCACTGATAATCTCCCTCGATCTGGGGCTCCACGCAAGATCTCACCCCGTGGGGTCAAAATAATCACAAGAACGGTGAGCAAAAATCCCAGAACCACACGGGGGGACCTAGTGAATGACCTGCAGAGAGCTGGGACCAAAGTAACAAAGCCTACCATCAGTAACACACTACACCGCCAGGGACTGAAATCCTGCAGTGCCAGACGTGTCCCCCTGCTTATGCCAGTACATGTCCAGGCCCGTCTGAAGTTTGATAGAGTGCATTTGGATGATCCAGAAGAGGATTGGGAGAATGTCATATGGTCAGATGAAACCAAAATAGAACTTTTTGGTAAAAACTCAACTCGTCATGTTTGGAGGACAAAGAATGCTGAGTTGCATCCAAAGAACACCATACCTACTGTGAAGCATGGGGGTGGAAACATCATGCTTTGCGGCTGTTTTTCTGCAAAGGGACCAGGACGACTGATCCGTGTAAAGGAAAGAATGAATGGGGCCATGTATCGTGAGATTTTGAGTGAAAACCTCCTTCCATCAGCAAGGGCATTGAAGATGAAACGTGGCTGGGTCTTTCAGCATGACAATGATCCCAAACACACCGCCCGGGCAACGAAGGAGTGGCTTCGTAAGAAACATTTCAAGGTCCTGGAGTGGCCTAGCCAGTCTCCAGATCTCAACCCCATAGAAAATCTTTGGAGGGAGTTGAAAGTCTGTGTTGCCCAGCGACAGCCCCAAAACATCACTGCTCTAGAGGAGATCTGCATGGAGGAATGGGCCAAAATACCAGCAACAGTGTGTGAAAACCTTGTGAAGACTTACAGAAAACGTTTGACCTGTGTCATTGCCAACAAAGGGTATATAACAAAGTATTGAGAAACTTTTGTTATTGACCAAATACTTATTTTCCACCATAATTTGCAAATAAATTCATAAAAAAATCCTACAATGTGATTTTCTGGAGAAAAAAAAATCTCATTTTGTCTGTCATAGTTGACGTGTACCTATGATGAAAATTACAGGCCTCTCTCATCTTTTTAAGTGGGAGAACTTGCACAATTGGTGGCTGACTAAATACTTTTTTCCCCCACTGTATGTTCTGTTGCAAAAAGTGCAGAGTTCCTGTCCAAATCATAGCCTTGCTTTTTTTAGCTAATCTGTTGTAGTATCGGATTTTTGTGTGGGCAGCAGCGGTTACAGTGGCACTTTAAAGATGGTGAAAATACGGTTGGTGTTTTCTAACAGTGCTAGCTAGCTAAGCTATATCAATAACCAGCCACAGCATTACTGTCTGCACAGTGAGTTAACCCAAAACTCCACCCTTCGTCCTTGCCCAGTGTAGCCTCTTCCACCTGGGGAGGGGTGTGCTCCTTCACCACAGATATACAGTACAGAGTTTGGCAAACTAGCCTCTATGTTGACGCCAAACATTCCATAACAAGAATATTCCACATTTCAGGGATATGATCAAGAGAACAGAAAATTAGGAAAATCAGTTTTGTCTGCGCTCTAGGGGGATAGGTCAGCTTCAAACATATGAATGGAGGATAGTCATATCAGAAATTCCCGATTTAAATCAGAAAAAATCACATCCCTGAAATTCCCATTATCAGTAGAATAGGATTATCTTCGGAACTTCAGTTGATCCTTGGGTGCCATCATGGACTCCACGTTTGTCAAACTCTGTACCTGTGAACGGCTCTACCAGGTGGGCATCATGTCAGGGAACCAGACACGGCCCAGGTGCTTGGACACCTCCCAGTGGATTTCGTCAAGGTTGTACTTATGGTCGGGAATCAGCACCTCTTCCATGATGGACAGCTGGGACAACCTCCGACCGCACATCTTCACAAATTCCACGAATGCGCTGCACGACACCTCACACTCCCCAAGGCCGATGGCCGACAGCTGGGTGCAGCGCTTGGCGATGCGGATCAGCTCCTCATCCAGCGGCCGCAGCCCATTGGCACACACCACCAACTCCACTAGCCGAGGGCAGTGGAGCCCCACACGGCCCAGCACGTCCTTACTGACAGAGCGGCCAAAGTAGAGGTGGGTGACGGGGACCTCCTCCTTGAAGAAAGGGCCAAACTCATCCTCGTAGAGGAAGAAGTACATGACCAGGTTGAACATGGGCGAGTGGCGCACCATAGCATCCCAGCTGGACTTCTTGATGGTGTGGAAATTCTGCCCGGGATTCTCGCTGACCACGTCGATGCGGAGATGCTCCAAGTGCACGTGTTTCTCAGAGGAGAGGGCTAATAAGAGCTCGTCGCTCAGCAGTTGGTAGTTTAGCGCCAGCTCCCTCAGGCCGTGGCACTGGTCCGCCACACACAGGATACCTGCACACAAAGCAAGGTTTGGTTTAGAAACATAGGTATTTTATTACTCCAATTATAACACAGTGCCTATTTAGTTTGAATTAATTTAGTTTTAACCATTGTTATTAATGGTTTATTGAGAACTTTCAGTTTTGTGCCCAAGGTTTTCGGTTTAAACAACACATACACTACCGTTCAAAAGTATGGGGTCACTTAGAAATGTCCTTGTTTTCGAAAGAAAAGCAATATTTTTGTCCATTAAAATGACATCAAATTGATCAGAAATACAGTGTAGACATTGTTAATCTTGTAAATGGCTATTGTAGCTGGAAACGGCTGATTTTTAAATGGAATATCTACATAGGCATACAGAGGCCCATTATCAGCAACCATCAGTCTTGTGTTCCAATGGCACGTTGTGTTTGCTAATCCAAGTTTATAATTTTAAAAAGGCTAATTGATCATTAGAAAACACTTTCGCTATTATGTTAGCACAGCTGAAAACTGTTGTGCTGATTAAAGGTGCAATAAAACTGGCCTTCTTGAGACAAGTTGAGTATCTGGAGCATCAGCAATGGTAGGTTCGATTACAGGCTCAGAAACAAAGAACTCTTCTGAAACTCGTCAGTCTATTCTTGTTCTGAGAAATGAAGGCTACTCTGGGATGCTGACCTTCTAGGCAGAGTTGCAAAGAAGAAAGAAAACAAGGACATTTCTAAGGGACCCCAAACTTTTGAACGGTAGTGTATGTAGGTAGCCCACTTAAACTTTGAAACAATCAAAGCGCTTTACGGGCAGATGCAGTATACTACAAGCCAGGACTTTTCAACTCCGGTCCTGGAAGGCCGAAACACTGATTCAGACCTGGGACATCAGGTGAGTGCAATTAACTACCATGTGTTTCGGCCCTCCAGGACCGGTGTTGAAGAGCCCTGGGTATAGGCACTGCCCCACAACCTAGATATTAGACTAAGTGTTGCCATAAAAGCTTGACAATTTTTCACATCCATTTCTACCATTGAGGGGAATAAGAGCTCAGACAAAAGCTATCCATAAATAGTAGGCTTACCAGAGAAACACAGACCAGTAGGGGTGTAACGGTACACGTATTACTCGGTTCGGTCTGCACTGTGAACCCGAATGAATACAAAAAAAAGATTTACAAAATAAAAACTCTAGGCCTTTAGGCTATGCCTTCGCTGCGTTGTGGCAGGCCTATGACTCTTAAGTAAATTGGAGCTGGACATTTTTTTTCAGGCCATTCCGTTAAAACAACTAGAGCCTATGCGCATGTTAATCAAAATTCTAATCTTAATTGGCGCATTATAAACTGTGCTTTTGTGAGGCGCAGCCGGGAACTAGTTCTTTACGATGGCGAGTGGTGGGGGTCGATATGCCAGAATTGGAGGATCCTCCATCGTTTAAATCTCCAGTTTGGGAACATTTTTGACTTACCAGTAGATTACAACGGTGATGGACAGAGTTGTGGATAAAATATTAACAGTATGTCGCCACGCTCAATGAGAATAGCCTATGCAGCTGCCAAGACGGAAACGCAAAGAAACACAACATTGTCACCCATCTGCATTCAAGCAGCCCTTGGTAGCTGCTTCTGACCAGGCCAAAGAAATTACAAGAGCAATAGGTAGGCTGTGTTTACATTATTTACAGTCTTTGGTTTATATCTGCAGATATGCGCCCATTCTCGCTGGTTGAGAATAGGGGGTTTCAACAGCACCTCGTGAAAGTGCTCGAGACACGTTGCATCCATTTCAGCAAACAGGTAGTACCTGCTCTACATAAGCAAGACAAAGCAAAAGTTTTCAATGAACAGAGTACCACAGTACGAGTCATAATACCCATAAAACCTAGGGGTCAAACAAGGAAATGGTTGCAAATCGTTTTTTCCACAATTTTTCCCTATAGGAGATTTTTTTTAGAAACACTTAAAATAAGGGCTGTGTTTCGTGTAGGCTTACCCTGGTGTGACGTTTTGATAACCGTCTAAATCTCTCTAGGACAAGGTGACTTTTATCAATATATGAGACGCTAATTTGTTGCTAATGTGGCTATCATAAAGAACTACAAATGCCATGATGATCTGGACGAGACTGCCGAATCGAGGCAAAGGTAAGAATCTCTGGATTAATCATCTAATGTTAGCTAAATTTAGTAATAAATGGGAAACATTTCTTTAAATGTACAATTCTTTGAACTGCCTTGTGAAAGTTTTAAATTGATACAATACCTGTTAGCAAAGGTTAAATTAAAAAAATTAAATTACATTATTTAGCAGACGCTCTTATCCAGAGCGACTTACATGAGCAATTAGGGTTAAGTGCCTTGCTTAAGGGCACATCGACAGATTTTTCACCTAGTCAGCTCGGGGATTAGAACTAGCGACCTTTCGGTTACTGGCACAACGCTCTTACCCACTAAGCTACCTGCTGCCCCGGTGGGTGTCAGCTAGAGATGACGGTGTCAGCTAGAGATGACGTGCAGGAGCTTGCAGGGATTTGTAGTCTTGCATGATCTCTACTTTGATGCTAATTATCATTTTCGAATCTGAGAGTAAAATAGAGCCAAATATATTGATAAAAGTCACCTTGTCCGAGAGAGATTTACATGGCTATCAAAACGTCATGCCAGGGTAATCCTACACAAAGCACAGCCCTTATTTTAAGTGTTTATACGGCCTTCCAACTGGTAATTACTAGTGGGAAACTCGTCTATCATCCTGAGCACCCACTTCTCCCACATGGTGACCTCTGACGTCACCTACTTTAAAAGGAGAATAATTGACAACTGAATTCAGAAGCCTCCTTATCAAATTCAGTCAAATGTATTTTATAAAGCCCTTTTTACAGCAGTTGTCACAAAGTGCTTATACAGCACTTTGTGACCTTATTACTAATGAATGTTTGTTTTCCATGGTCGTGTTTTGTATTTCTGTTTTGCATTTCTATTTGATGTGTATATTTTTGTAATTACAGGGCTCATCTGTAAAAGAGACCTTGGTCTAAGCATGACTCCCTATAATAAAGGTTCAATCAAATGTGAGTCACAAGAATAAGGATTTAAATGTGTCAAAACAAGTAGTACACATGACCTGAACCAGTTTAAAGCACTAGCCAACATAAAGTAGATTTCTAAATGCAAAACAGGAGCATGCAGACATCCAGAGTAAGTTAAAACAAAGTAGGCTATTTGAACTGGTACTGGTGAACTTACACTGAGTGTACTAAACATTAAGAACACTTTCCTAATATTGAGTTGCACCCCCCCTTTTGCTTTCAGAACAGCCTCAATTTGTCGGGAAAAAGTGTAGAAAGCGTTCCACAGGGATGCTGGCCCATGCTTCCCACAGTTGTGTCAAGTTGTCTGGATGTCCTTAGGGTGGTGGACCATTCTTGAAACACACCGGAAACTGTTGAGCGTGAAAAACCCAGCAGCGTTGCAGTTCTTGACACAAACCGGTGCGCCTAGCACAAACTACCATACCCTGTTCCAAGGCACTTAAATCTTTTGTCTTGCCCATAGACCCTCTGAATGGCACACATGTACAATCCATGTTCAAAATCCTTATTTAACCTGTCTCCTCCCCTTCATCTACACAGATTGAAGTAGATTTAACAAGTGACATCAATAAAGGATAATAGCTTTCACCTGGATTCACCTGTTCAGTCTATGTCATGGAAAGAGCAGGAGTCCTTAATGTTTTGTACACTCAGTGTATTTGATGTCCACTAATCAGGAATCGACTGTATATAAAAGTAATCCATTCTAGGGACCATTCAATGACCATCAACTCAGACAAGCACCCTACCTGCAGGGGAGACATGAGGGCAGCTGCTCATCTTCAACAGCTTCAGCGTGTCGCTGTTGTTGGCCACCAGGACCTTCAGGGACGGGTCGTCCACCGGTGTGTCGTCGATCTTCAGAGACGACAGGGACTTGGAGTTGACAAACACCACCGTCAGGGCCGAGATGAAATGAGACTAAAGGAGGAAAACATTTATGACCAATCAGTGAATAGGTTAATAAAATTGATGACTGCAGGTAGTGTTTTTTTTAATTTCACCTTTATTTAACCAGGTAAGCCAGTTGAGAACAAGTTCTCATTTACAACTGCGACCTGGCCAAGATAAAGCAAAGCAGTGCGATAAAAACAACAACACAGAGTTACATATGGGGTAAACAAAACATAAAGTCAAAAATACAACAGAAAATCTATATACAGTGTGTGCGAATGTAGTAAATTATGGAGGTAAGGCAATAAATAGGCCATAGTGCAAAATAGTTACAATTTCGTATTAACACTGGAATGATAGATGTGCAAAAGATGATGTGCAAATAGAGATACTGGGGTGCAAATTAGCAAAATAAATAACAATATGGGGATGGAGGCTTTGTTGCGAAATAGGAAGCCGATTCTAGATCTAACTTTTGATTGGAGATGCTTAATGTGAGTCTGGAAGGAGAGTTTACAGTCTAACCAGACACCTAGGTATTTGTAGTTGTCCACATACTCTAGGTCAGACCAGCCGAGAGTAGTGATTCTAGTCTGGTGGGCGGGTGCAAGCAGCGTTCGGTTGAAGAGCATGCATTTAGTTTTACTAGTGTTTAAGAGCAGTTGGAGGCTACGGAAGGAGTGTTGTATGGCGTTGAAGCTCGTTTGGAGGTTTGTTAACACAGTGTCCAATGAAGGGCCAGATGTATACAAAATGGTATCCAAGCGTCACCAGCAGCAAGCACGACATCATTGATATACACAGAGAATAGAGTCGGCCCGAGAATTGAACCCTGTGGCACCCCCATAGAGACTGCCAGAGGTCCAGACAACAGGCCCTCCGATTTGACACATCGAACTCTATCTGAGAAGTAGTTGGTGAACCAGGCGAGGCAGTCATTTGAGAAACCAAGGCTATTTAGTCTGCCAATAAGAATGCGGTGGTTGACAGAGTCGAAAGCCTTGGCCAGGTCGATGAAGACGGCTGCGCAGTACTTTCTTTTATCGATCGCGGTTATAATATCGTTTAGGACCTTGAGCGTGGCTGAGGTGCACCCATGACCAGCTCGGAAACCGGATTGCATAGCGGAGAAGGTACGGTGGGATTCGAAATGGTCGGTGATCTGTTTGTTAACTTGGCTTTCAAAAACGTTTGAAAGGCAGGGCAGGATGGATATAGGTCTGTAACAGTTTGGATCGAGAGTGTCACCCCCTTTGAAGAGGGGGATGACCGCGGCAGCTTTCCAATCTCTGGGGATCTCAGACGTTACGAAAGAGAGGTTGAACTGGCTAGTAATAGGGGTTGCGACAATTTCGGCGGCTAATTTTAGAAATAAAGGGACCAGATTGTCTAGCCCAGCTGACTTGTAGGGGTCCAGATTTTTCAGCTCTTTCAGAACATCAGCTGTCTGAATTTGTGTAAAAGAGAAGTGGGGGGGGGCATGGGCAAGTTGCAGCGGAGGGTGCAGAGCTGGTGGCCGGGGTAGTGATAGCCAGGTGGAAAGCATGGCCAGCCGTAGCAAAATGCTTGTTGAAATTCTCGATTATTGTAGATTTATCGGTGGTGACAGTGTTTCCTAGCCTCAGTGCAGTGGGCAGTTGGGAGGAGGTGCTCTTATTCTCCATGGACTTTACAGTGTCCCAAAACCTTTTGGAGTTAGTGCTACAGGATGCAAATTTCTGTTTGAAAAAGCTAGCCTTTGCTTTCCTAACTGATTGTGTATATTGGTTCCTGACTTCCCTGAAAAGTTGCATATCGCGGGGGCTGTTTGATGCTAATGCAGTACGCCACAGGATGTTTTTGTGCTGGTCAAGGGCAGTCAAGTCTGAGGAGAACCTGGGGCTATATCTGTTCTTAGTTCTGAATTTTTTGAATGGGGCATGCTTATTTAAGATTGAGAGGAAAGCACTTTTAAAGAACAACCAGGCATCCTCTACTGACGGAATGAGGTCAATATCCATCCAGGATACCCGGGCCAGGTCTATTAGAAAGCAGAGGTGTATTTAGAGGGTACATTTGTCAGGACGATATCTATGAGGGTGCCCATGTTTACAGATTTTGGGTTGTACCTGGTAGGTTCGTTGATAATTTGTGTGAGATTGAGGGCATCTAGTTTAGATTGTAGGTTGGCCGGGGTGTTAAGCATATCCCAGTTTAGGTCACCAAGCAGTACGAACTCTGAGGATAGATGGGGGGCAATCAGTTCACATATGGTGTCCAGGGCACAGCTCAGGGCTGAGGGGGGTCTGTAGCAAGCGGCAACAGTGAGAGACTTATTTCTGGAAAGGTGGATTTTTAGAAGTAGAAGCTCAAACTGTTTGGGCACAGACCTGGATAGTATGATAGAGCTCTGCAGGCTATCTCTACAGTAGATTGCAACTCCACCCCCTTTGGCAGTTCTATCGAGATGGAAAATGTTGTAGTTGGGGATGGACATTTCTGAATTTTTGGTGGCCTTCCTAAGCCAGGATTCAGACACTGCTAGAAAATCAGGGTTGGCGGAGTGTGCTAACGCAGTGAATAACTCAAACTTAGGGAGGAGGCTTCTGATGTTAACGTGCAAGAAACCAAGGCTTTTACGGTTACAGAAGTCAACAAATGATAACGCCTGGGGAGTAGGAGTGATACTGGGGGCTACAGGGCCTGGGTTAACCTCTACATCACCAGAGGAACAGAGGAGGAGTAGAATAAGGATACGGCTGAAGGCTTTAAGAACTGGTCTTCTAGTGCGTTGGGTACAGAGAAAAAAAGGGGCAGATTTCCGGGCATTGTAGAATAGATTCAGGGCATTATGTATAGACAAGGATATGGAAGGATATGAGTACAGTGGAGGTAAACTAAGCATTAGGTAACGATGAAAGAGATAGCATCACTGGAGGCACCGATTGAGTCGGTCTCCGCGTGTATGGGGGGCGGGACAAAGGAGCTGTCTAAGGCAGGTTGAGCTGGGCTGGGGGCTCTACAGTGAAATAGTACAATAAGAAATAACCGAAACAGCAATCAGCAAGGCATATTGACATGGGAGAGAGTCATAAAGCAATCACAGGTGTTATTCGAGAGAGCTAAGACAACAGCTGGTAATGGCGACAAAGTTTGGGCTGAGGCTAAACATAAACAGGATGCGGTACCGTATAAAGGAACAGTCCAGCAGGCATCAGCTGTATAGCTGAGTTATCATAAGGTCCGGTGAACAGCAATAGGAGAGTTCGGAGGTAGATCGGGGGCTGCTACAGCACTGGCGAGCAATAGGCCTGGCTTGCGTGTGCTAGCGTGCCGGGGCTAGCAGATGGATCTTCGAGGTCGACGTCGTAACGGGAAGCCTGTTGAAACCACATCAGATGATTTTGTCGGCAAACCAGTCGTGTTGGATCGGCGGGGCTCCGTGTCAACACTAGGAGGTCCCGTCCGGTTGACAGAGAGGTAGATAGCTGGGAGATGGGCCTGGCTCGAGGCTAGCTCAAGGCTAACTGGTGCTTGCTAAGGGCAATGGTAATTAGCCAACGACAACAGCCATTTGGTTGCAGCTAGCTGGTTGCGATGATCCGGCGCTAGGTCCAGTGATACCTGCAGAAAATCCGATATGCTCTGGGTCGATAGCACGCTGTGCAGACTGGCAGACAAATTGTCCAGGCTAGAGCTAGAACTGGCTGGTGGGTAGTGCAGGCCACGGACGATGGTGAAGACGCTAACGGTGGCTAATAGCAAGTAGCTAGCTAGCTACCACAGCCATTCGGCTGCAGCTAGACTAGTTTCAGCTTAAGGTTCTTAGAATAATAATAGAATCCTTTCCACGTTGGGTGAGGCGGGTTGCAGGAAAGTATATTTAGTTAAAGAATGAAAAGTAAAATTGAGAAATATATACAAAATAGACAAAAAAACGGTCTATTTACACAAGGACACTACAGAAAAACACGACCGCACTGCTACGCCATCTTGGGTTACTTATGACATCCAGCAGGTGTAGGGTATAGGGCATACATTCTGGGAGAATCAACACAGTGATCAGGTCAGCTATGGACTGTTTAACAAAATGAATTAATGGAGAAAGTGTACCGGTTGAACTCCACTGTGTAAAAAATAAAAAGTGTCAACTGGAATTTTGACCTTTTAACAGGCGCCAAAAGCTGACAGATAATCAAATCCTAGTTATAAAATGGTATTCACATTCGAGATTACACATTAGAATGCCATTGTCATGGAACATTTGGTGCCAACATGGAGGACAGTTTCCTGAACACTGTAAATATAAGGCCTATCTATAGCTGATTCCAACAGGCTTTGTAATCTACCTTGGGCAACTCCATGAAGCTGGGCCTGGCCGTGGAGATTAGCCCTAGGGTCTTTAATGAACAGTTCACCAGCTGGGAGAGAATATCACAGGCCGCCTCGGCAGACTCCGTGCTGCTGTCCACCTAGAGATCAAACACAAACAATATAGATAGCATTCAATGCTGGGTAGGATGATGGCTCTCCTTTCCAGGTGAATGGGATACTGGAAAAGCTACACCACATAGCCTAAAAAAATATATATAGCACCATCAACCTATAGACACCATCACTACCCACCACACTAATCTTGTCTTTCCCACTCACCTTGAAACTGACATACTGCAGGTGATTCGAATGCCTCTTGATGATCTGCTTGATTAGGTCTGGGTGTGTCGCTTTCAGGTAAGAACTGGCAGGCTGATTCAGCTCAAACTCAAAGCACCTCCACAGCTCGGGCATGTGGAAGGCTTGGTTAAAGCCGCGGCACACCTGCGAGGCGTACGCCCGGTCCAGAAAAGGCAGGAATTGGAAGATGTTGAGCAAGATCTCATGTGGGAGCAGTGCCCAGTCAAAGCCAAACTCGATGGGTTCTACATCAGTCTCTTCTTCTTCCTTCTCTTGGTGCTTCTCTTCCCTTGGCTGTAGCTGCCGCATCTTCTTCCAGGACGCTGTTGGGCCCCCGCTGGAAGAGCTGCAGGCATATTCCTTATTTCCTTTCACCCTCTTCATCTTATAAGGGAGAGACAGACAACCAGGTTTGGTGAGAATAACACATTGCTGATCATGGACAGCCTGCTCGCATTTATAGTTTATTCAATTTAGGGGATTTTGTGCATAAAAAAACAATATCACAGCATACAATAGCGCTGGGACTTCACGATACGATATCACAATACTTAGGTGCCAATACGATATGTATTGCGATTCTCACGATTGGGATTTGATACTGCGATTTCATATTCCAAACATATTGCTCACTATACAGTGGGGGAAAAAAGTATTTAGTCAGCCACCAATTGTGCAAGTTCTCCCACTTAAAAAGATGACAGAGGCCTGTCATTTTCATCATAGGTACACGTCAACTATGACAGACAAATTGAGAAAAAAAATCCAGACAATCACATTGTAGGATTTTTAATGAATTTATTTGCAAATTATGGTGGAAAATAAGTATTTGGTCACCTACAAACAAGCAAGATTTCTGGCTCTCACAGACCTGTAACTTCTTCTTTAAGAGGCTCCTCTGTCCTCCACTCGTTACCTGTATTAATGGCACCTGTCCACAACCTCAAACAGTCACACTCCAAACTCCACTATGGCCAAGACCAAAGAGCTGTCAAAGGACACCAGAAACAAAATTGTAGACCTGCACCAGGCTGGGAAGACTGAATCTGCAATAGGTAAGCAGCTTGGTTTGAAGAAATCAACTGTGGGAGTAATTATTAGGAAATGGAAGACATACAAGACCACTGATAATCTCCCTCGATCTGGGGCTCCACGCAAGATCTCACCCCGTGGGGTCAAAATGATCACAAGAACGGTGAGCAAAAATCCCAGAACCACACGGGGGGACCTAGTGAATGACCTGCAGAGAGCTGGGACCAAAGTAACAAAGCCTACCATCAGTAACACACTACGCCGCCAGGGACTCAAATCCTGCAGTGCCAGACGTGTCCCCCTGCTTAAGCCAGTACATGTCCAGGCCCGTCTGAAGTTTGCTAGAGTGCATTTGGATGATCCAGAAGAGGATTGGGAGAATGTCATATGGTCAGATGAAACCAAAATAGAACTTTTTGGTAAAAACTCAACTCGTCGTGTTTGGAGGACAACGAATGCTGAGTTGCATCCAAAGAACACCATACCTACTGTGAAGCATGGGGGTGGAAACATCATGCTTTGGGGCTGTTTTTCTGCAAAGGGACCAGGACGACTGATCCGTGTAAAGGAAAGAATGAATGGGGCCATGTATCGTGAGATTTTGAGTGAAAACCTCCTTCCATCAGCAAGGGCATTGAAGATGAAATGTGGCTGGGTCTTTCAGCATGACAATGATCCCAAACACACCGCCCGGGCAATGAAGGAGTGGCTTCATAAGAAGCATTTCAAGGTCCTGGAGTGGCCTAGCCAGTCTCCAGATCTCAACCCCATAGAAAATCGTTGGAGGGAGTTGAAAGTCCGTGTTGCCCAGCGACAGCCCCAAAACATCACTGCTCTAGAGGAGATCTGCATGGAGGAATGGGCCAAAATACCAGCAACAGTGTGTGAAAACCTTGTGAAGACTTACAGAAAACGTTTGACCTGTGTCATTGCCAACAAAGGGTATATAACAAAGTATTGAGAAACTTTTGTTATTGACCAAATACTTATTTTCCACCATAATTTGCAAATAAATTCATTAAAAATCCTACAATGTGATTTTCAGGATTTTTTTTCTCATTTTGTCTGTCATAGTTTACGTGTACCCATGATGAAAATTACAGGCCTCTCTCATCTTTTTAAGTTGGAGAACTTGCACAATTGGTGGCTGACTAAATACTTTTTTTCCCCCCACTGTATTTTAACCTTTATTTAACTAGGCAAGTCAGTTAAGAACAAATTATTATTTACAATGACGGCCTACACCACTGTGCGCCGCCCTATGTGACTCCCAATCACGGCCGGTTGTGATACAGCCTGGAATCGAACCAGGGGGTCTGTAGTGACACCTCAAGCACTGAGATGCAGTGCCTAAAACCGCTGCGCCACTCGGGAGCCCCTTAGCTATCTAGCTAAGTGGTTAGCTTCTTCCAAAATCAAGTTTTGCTTGGTAACAGCAGAAAATCCCCTCCTGGATCAAGAGCCTTGCTGTCTAATATTTATTTTGTGCGTGGTTGTGTTACTTGTAAAACTTTGTCCTGCAAATACTTTAGGTCAGAGACTGTAAAATGTTGGCATTCTATATGGGATTTTACATGTAGTTGTTAGCATTGCTAACCTTTGGATTACAATAGCGCCCCTTGTGTTGAGTGCCGGTATTACTGGTATGGCACAAGGTCGGTATGAATGCATGACAATCTAGATACCACCCAAGCCTAGCAATGAGTGTAAGTGGAGCAGGCAAGAGGCATTAACGTGCGCTCGTGCTATAAGGGGCCATCGGCTGCGCTGATAGAAAGACTTGATCCTCTCAATCAGTATACGACGTGAGACACAATTGACAGAAGTTCCGAAAGTAACTCTAGTACTGAACCATTTTTCATGTTCTAGTATCGAAAAGTACAGAAGTTTCGTTATACCGTGCAACATTACACTGAAAGCTATAACCCCGTTTGGAGCTAACTAGCTAGTGCTCTCAAATAGTATCCTGATGTCGACAGCAGATGGGAGTTGTATTCATAACCTTGCTAACTTAGCTAGCTAACAGATTTGAGTAGGGATGTTAACAGTTAATCTAAAAACCGTTAATTGGTTAACTACCGAAAATACATTTGACCAGTAATGCTTATCGGTTTATGGGATAATTTAGTGCAATTAAATTGGCGCGTGTACTTTCGTTCGTTGTCATGCATCTTTGGATTCAATACACTATTGAGTCTTCACATAGGAATCAATGGTGTCACGTGATCAATGCCTTTGTCCATTCTTATATACAGTCATTGGACGGAACGTTGCTGTTTAAATATAAGTGACAGCAAGATTTGAAGGGCTAGCTAGCATCATCATGCATGGAAGGAAGCTGTCTGGCCCAGTATGCTGTGGCCATAGAGATCCTAATAAATTACTTGAGGGTCTATGTCATAAACACTCATAGTTACAGAATGGGGTAAACATGGTAGCCATATTGGTTCTAAATACGTTAGCTACTTAAGTGAATAATAAGATACTAATCTTGACAAACATTGAATGGTGGTGGAAGTGAAGCTAACGTTAGCTAGCTGTTAGCAGACCCATATCCTCTTCCTTACCTTATGTTTACACTTGGCTAGCTAACGGTTAGCTGTTCGCAGTGAAAAATCAAATTACTGACAACTTCCGCACTTGACAATTCATTCGCCCGAGCCAAATAACACGCATCGGGCACCAACTCGGTGCCATCAGTTTAAGATTTAGCCAGATGTACAGTTTTCTTTAAAACACAGTATGTTCGTGTAAATTGATATATTTCCAGTGACCTTCTTCTTCAGTGGGGTTTATCGGCGATTGGCATCCAACGTTATGGTGCATTACCGCCACCTACTGTACCGGAGTGTGGGTCAGAGACAGGGAGAAACTAAATCCTACCTGCCAGCCCCGTTGTTCTTACAAAGTATAACATATTTGAGACTATTTCTAATGACGTTCTACTCAATATACTCTTTAAACTAATTTCCTGTACTAGATCTCAACCTCTCTCTTTCCCTCTGATACTGCCCACACTGTAGCAATACATGCTCCACGGTCTCTGTTTCCTGACAATAATCACACTTTCCCGTTGGATGCTTTCCTATCACATTTAATGTCTTATTCAACTGGCTGTGTCCCACCCTTAATCTTGTAAAAATAGCCTCATCTGTACTAAGTGCTCTGTTCATCTACTGCCTCATTTTCCTCCACCCCCACATGGGCTGTGACCCAAGTAAATCTTATCTGAATACCCATCTGATTTCCGGTGCCCTAATCCCTTCACGGGAGTTTCAGCTTGCTCCCACCCACCCCCATCCCTGAAATGGCGATGAGTTGTTGTGACAGAAGCGGTGCAATGTGGGTGATACTAAATATATTTTATAACTAACCCAAGATAGACGGACCGCGGCCTGTCCTCTTCTTCTGTGGGTTTTATGGCGCCACCAACTGGACGATTTAAATTTTTTAAATAATCCATACTTAATAGTGATTCTAACAATCCACCCTAATAACAATAGTACATTGCCAAAACAAACAAAACTCCCTCTTCTTCCTTCTTTTAGTTCTCCATATCTCGCTTCTCAGGCTCTAGGACCTGAGAAGGTGGTACGGCTTTTGCTTACATTCCATGTAAGTCCTTTGCTGTGAAATCTTTCACAACCAGGAGCCGCTCCGCTGCAATTACAATGATTTCAATCTTCCTAGATCTTTTATCCACTTTGACAGTGTGATTTATCACCATTGCGATAAAGGCCAAAGTCCACCACGGCCTGTCGTTTCCAATGGGAACAAATGAATAATAGTGGGAAGAACAAGCAAGGAGGTGGGCAGAGCCAAGCACGAGGAAGCGAGAGCCTATTGGCGCGTTCTAGCGTTATTTGCATATTTGCGTTAGGGAACGCCTACTCTGAAGTGCAAAACTCAATTTGCCCTTGCACTCGTTCTAAACAATGCCATTTTTGGAAACATTGGGTAAAACACTTAGTCCACTTTGTTCATAACACATTTTTGTTTTGGAAACAGAAAATTGCATTGAGAGCAAAAGTTTCATTGATGAGAAAATGTGCAGAATGTCGGCCAAAATCCATCTCGCTCCATCTTCTCCCACTGCCGGCCACTGGGCTTCCTCTCACCACCATATTTGGTAGTGAGTGGAAACGCCAACCGGATGCTTCACATTTATACATCTGGTGAAATATCGCTCCTTGTTCTATCTGTGGTGATACTGTATGAAATGGCTGCGTCTCCTGTGTTGAATATTTTGAAAATCATTTTTAGAATACCTACTTGTTTAGGAGGAAACATAACATAATGCATAGCGTATCTCAAACACAGTGAAGTCTGCTTTTCTGCACAGCAGTATGGCA